AATATATCGATAATAAAATAGCATTTTATCCGTATTTACAGTAAGAAAAAGCGAGAAAACGAAATTCTCGGACATATTATACGACAGTCGAGTCATATAGAGTTAGACAATAACTCGAGTGATGACATCAATATGATTGCCTCCACTTCTTCGGCGATGTCATCAAACGTTAAGAAAAGGCTGACAAAGGATTCAATGATGAGATTAAAGGCTAAATTCAATGTATGTTATATTTAGATAAACATATTTTGTGTGTCTATTCTCTGTATAACATGTATTATATTCTGTATTTAAAAACTAAAGCCAAAGAGTCGATAGTGTGAGTAGTTTTGCGAATGTGATCGTTGTTTTTAGTTCAATTCTTGCACTTTACTTATGATTAAATAGACATAATGCACTACATTTGACATTTAAGCCTGATCATTACTTAGTGTGTCCCATAATTATGCAGGGTCAAATTGTTTACACAAAACCTATCGACCAAAACCCGATGACAGACGCGGACACCAGGAATACATTGAGACCGCATACCATTCAACACTTGCTTAAACTCTATGCCTTAAAACACGAGAATCTGACAAAATTCATGGCTATATATCAGTCGTCCGCCGATTTGAACCACAATTTTGTATTCATTTGGGAATTCTGTAGTCGCGGCTCATTAGGAGATGTCATCAATAATATCGATATCAAACTCGACTGGACTTTCAAGGCGTCGTTTCTCGGAGACCTGATTAGGGTTTTTATCTCAATAAGAAATCCTTATTTCCCAGTCACATGTACTGTATTTATGAATTATAATTCACACACAATTTGTCTCTTCACACTCTTATTAGGGTATGAAATATTTGCACAATTCGCTGATCCAAACACACGGTTACCTAAACTCGCAGAATTGTGTGATCGACAGCCGATGGCTATTAAAAGTGACAAACTTTGGTATAAACCGATTCCGGGAATTGCAGTCCCTGGAGATAAGCGACTCACACGACGCCAATGAGTTGCTATGGTTTGCGCCCGAATTGCTTAGAAATAATGACCCCTTTTTGAAGGGCTCTCAAGAGGCGGACGTCTATAGTTTTGCGATAATTATTCAGGAAATTGTCGTCAGAGACAAACCGTACTCCACTTACGCCAACCACTTGTCCACAATGGATATCATCGCCAGAATTAAGTGCC